GTCAAAGGGTTCATCTCTCACCCCTGATTCCTGGAAAATGCATCTCCAAACGCGGAGGTTGCCAAAGCAGTGACGAACTGTAAGAACTCGCAGCGACGAGACCTTGTCACGAGTTTGGGGATGTAATGCACAGATTCGGGGCTTACAAGGTTGAGCATCAAGACAGACCTGGATGCACTCCTGTTTGAAAGGGAAGTTCTCGCTTTGAGACGCTTCTGTTGAGCACAGACCCGTGGGAACCTCATATGATTCTGCGCAAATTATGCAGCCAGTCGAGCCCTAAACCCTAAACCCTAAGCCCTAACCCCAAATCCTAAAATTGCCAGGCGCTGCCCGTGGCTTTACCCGCCGAGCCTGCTGTGCCGGTCGCCTCGGTCTCCCGGCGCAAAGCTGAAGCAGACAAACGGCCCTAAACTCTCAGCCCTAATCCCTTTCAAGGGATCTATAAGGCTTACTTTGAGGGGTCTACAGTAGGGTTCTAGAATAAAGGGGTCTGAATAATTAGAATAGGGTCTTGGGGCCCAATTATACTATAACTGTAATAAGGAACCCACAAAACCCCATTTTATTTATTAAGGCCCCTACAGTATCGGAGCTCATGATTCCAGGCAGGCGATCAGTTTGGGAGTGGATCTGGTTGAAGAAACATGTCATGCTCCGTCAAACCTTGCAGCGATTCGCTTCCAACAGGTCTTGATCTTACCTTTGGTTAATAGGGAAGGGAAGATTGGTAGTAATAGCAGTTATAATTGTACCCCATTCCTCCATTCCCTACTAACCAAAGGTAAGTGATTGCCTTTCAGGTTCATTGAGTTTCTCAGTCCCGGGAAGTCCCACTCAGCTGAGACCCTAAAGCTCAAGCCCTAAACCCTAGCTCGTGCTTTCCTACGGTTGATGATACAAATCCTGCATTACTTTAAGGACCCTAAACTATGGGAATTATGTTATATTCCTCATTATGATCACCAACCGTATGACTTTTTCTTGGACTTAATCATATGCGAAGACTGCACATTCATTCGTGCGAGATAGCGAAGGACAGCATTTGGTTTTCTGGCATGTGCTTGTGGGCATCATCGTGCCGTAGACCTGCAGAATTCAGCCTCGCCTCATATTCAAAGCCCTGGACCTCTACAGGCCGTGAAGTCTCGAGTCCGAAGCCCAAAAGTCTAAACACCCCATAGCAATTCCTTTATGGGAGTTTCCGAAAATGAGGAGTACCTTATTTGGGGTCCTTATAATAAGGGTCCTATCATTTAGGGTACTACATTAGGGTCCCCCATTTTTGGAAACCCCCTTATCCCAAATTCAAAGAAAGCCCATTCGATCGAAGCCCGCAGCCCTGAGCACTCTCTTCTCGTGGCTGAGGGCAGTAACACCACGCTGGCGGGGGGCGACGAGAGCGACGTGACAGAGGTTTGAGAAGGTTTCGGGTCATTAGGGTTTAGGGTTTAGGGTTTAGGGGTTTAGGGTTTAGGGTTTAGGGTTTAGGGTTTAGGGTTTAGGGTTTAGGGTTTAGGAATCAAGGGTTGAGGGCACCCGCCCAAACCCAGAGCATAACCCCAAACCCGAAACCTTAAACCCTGGAGCCTGTAAGTTCGGGGTTCAGATGTTCAGCGTCAAGTTGGCAGTTGGAGTCTCAAGCACTGTCGAGTCTGAAGTCCATCCCTGGTTTAGGGTTTAGGAACCTTCCTCCCTGAGCTCGCTGCTCGCACGTACCGGGAGGCTTCATCGCTTCGGTTCGTAGTCTTGGAGCCCTCATATGGTTTAGGGTTTAGGGTTTTGGGCCTTAAACCCCGAACCCTAAACCATAAAACAAGACCCTAAAACCACGAGTCGCCGAGTCCCGGTCTTCTGAACTTTCAGGGCTTGAAGCGATCCCTGAGTGCGGCGGGCACAACCTCGCAGACGAGATCTCAGTCCCGACAAGTTGCCGACAAGACTCTGACAAGCCCCAAAAGTTGCAACACCAGGGACATAAAGAGTTCGGTAGGGGTTTTTTACATGGGTTCTATGAGGGTTTCTATTAAAGCGTTTAGAAGGGTTGGAGTGTATTGGTCTGATATGTACCCCTGAAGCCTGTGCGAAAGTTTCAGTCCCCTATACAAGATGTGAGGATGGATCGGTTTCCAAAGCACAGTTTTGCTCGGGACGCGGCGGTTGCTGTTTCGGCCTGTGAGGTATTTTTCCAGCACATTGTAGAAGTAAGTCGCGTTTGGCCTGTCGGCGAAATGCGGACTAAGATCCTAAACCCGAACCGTAAACTCTAAACTCTAGTTATGCACAGACGGGTTCTTTTCCCTTAGAAGCGCTGATATTGCTCCTCACGAGACGATGCCAAGACATCGAGACAGTACAGGGGCCTCAGTAATGAGCAAAGAGCACTATTCCTGAGGGCTCTCATAAAATCAGAGTGTAGACATCCCTCGAACCCCCGGTCTAACATCAAACCCTAAACCCAAAACCCTTACACTTCAGGCCTTTCTAGAAGTCGCGGCTTGCAGCCTCTGGGAAACATGAGTCCAACAAAGAAACCTTACACTACATGTGTCAGTTCTGGAAACTTGCCCTTGTGCAGATCGAAACATGGTCCATTGGTGACTTTCGAAGGCCGCGACACCGTGGGATGAGTCTAGGGGTTTGGGTTTAGGTTTTAGGGTTTAGGGTTTAGGGGTTTGGGGTTTAGGGTTTAGGGGTTTGGGTTTGAGGGTTTGGGGTTTAGGGTTTGAGGGCTTAGGGGTTCAGTATTTCGGGTTCACCATCAGGGCTGGCAACAAACAGTTGGAATTGGGTTCTGAGTATGGTTCAGAATGTGGGCAGGCTTCGCAGTTTTGGGATCTTTTTTGAGCCGGGCTTCTCGGTTCGAGGCTGCAGATGTCCGGCGACTTTGTTGCAAGAAGTTTCCGGTTGCGAGAGAGGTGGGGTCAGGTTTTAGGGGCCAACGTTTGGGCTTTAGGTTTCGGGTTCTGGACTCAAGGTTTGGGGTTCAGGGTTCATTGCTGCAATCTCGCACCTTTCTGCCAGGGTGCACTTCCCGCCATCCATGGAGGCACGCGGTGGTGTCTCTTGGGATTATTGGGATACCTTGTAAGAAATCAAGAAGTATCAGAACATGGTTTAGTTTAGATGTTGCAGGATTTCAGTGTGTATATTGGTGCAGTCGAGTTCTCATCTGGACTTGATGGTGAGGCGAAAGGGAGGTCTCATCATCATCATCATCATCATCATCTTCATCATGATCGTGACCATCATCCTCGTGGCCATCGTCGTGGTCATCACCATCATCATCGTCATCGTCATTGTCATCATCATCATCATCGTCATCACCATCCTCATCATGATCATGTTCATGATGATGACCATCACCGTTGTCATCATTGCCATCGTCGTCATCGTCATCACCTTCATCATCGTCATCATCACATCAACATCGTCGTCGTCCTCATCGTCGCCATCATAAGCACTTTCTAAGAGCAACTGCAAGAATCATAATCGTCAGACTAGTCCATATCATACATGCTCAACCCTAAACCCTCCATGGGTGTGGCATCCCTGAATTCGAGGCCCAAGAGCCAGAACTGAGACCCTGCAAAGTTCAAACCGGAACCCGAAAGCCAGACCTCGGTGGCCCAAAGCCTTTCAGATCTAGGGTTTAGGGTTTAAGGCAAAGTCTAGGGATTGGGTTTTGAGTTTAGGGTTTAGGGTGGATTGGGGTTTGAGTTTAGGGTTCAGGGTTGAGGGCTTCGGGCTTTGATCTTGGGCGAGTTTTGGGGTACTCGGGGTTCAAGTTAGAAGGAACGCACAAGGTGATGCGGTTGTCGGGATCTTAGAATGGTTCGATCCGGGCTGCTCTCATTGTTGGGCATCCAGGCGAGTCGCGCGTTGTCGGGGCCTCAGAGAGCTGTTTCATTTTGCTCTCTTCGACTTGCTTGAGGCTTGCAGTTTGCGCATTCGGGATGACCGGCTTCTCCGCAAGGGTTCGTTCGGAGAGGGCGCTAAGCAAGCTTTCCTGTGCTTCCTTCTCCAAGCGACGGAATATGGAACGAAGTTTCGATTCGCCTTGCTTGGCTCGGACGGCAGCTCATTCTGATTGTGGGCAATACCTCCAGGTTTTCGAGAAGAGACGGCAGAAGACGCATGGAGAGTCAAGTGGTAAGAGGATTCCGCACTGCCATGTCGGAGGCAACGCATCATAGACGACGGTAGTTAGACGGGTTGAAGGACCAGTGGCTTTTGTAAGTGGGGCTGTAGGCTTCAAGCAAGGCTTGAAGTACTAGATTGTGTGAGGCCCGGCGAAGCTCCCAAAGTCTTCCATCCGTTTACCGAAGAAGACCCGTCCCGTGGACCGATCCGATGGGATTTTTTGGTACTTTCGCTCAGCCAAAAGGATAATCGAGCAAGGTCTGGATGATCTAAGCCTCAAACTCGTGACTGCGTTGATGCTATCTGAAGCCACCTGCACTTTTGCATGCGTGCATACGTCCATCTATGCATCCCTCCCTCCATCCATCCGACCAGAGCTACGTGCATCTAGACACTCAAACTGATAGGCAGAGGGACACCTAGGCCGTTCTTGTATAGATGAGTCCAGGGTCTCAGACTATGGTCTGCTCAAGATCAGGCAGGGCCGGACGAGTGAAGATTAGATGCAGAGCAGTCGGGAACCTCACTGCATACGTCTATAGTCTAAAGCCAAAGCTTAAATTGGCCTCTTGTGCTCCGATGATGCGAGCTCGCCTCACGTTGCCTCTCGCGCTGTGCCACCGGCGTATAGCGGAAGGCGGTTGCAGAAGCACTGCTGATCCTGTACGTGTAGCATTGACATTGAGACACTCTGCTCGACTATTCACTTCTGTGGCCTCAGCATTCAAACCGAGTGAAGGCAGACACCCTGTCCCTGTGCTTGGGTTTGCAATTCTAATTGAGTTCACTCGCCAATAGTCTGGAGTTGCATGGGTTTTGAAGGTTCTCTCTCCTTCCCAGCCTCTCCTGTCTGTGCCATGCCACCAGATGCGACGCTTCAGCCGGGCCGCTACATGTATCAAGAGGGGCCTGCCCAGAGTACCTTCGAGATAGTGTGGCAGGAATCCCAGTCACAATATCTGTTCTCACAGGCTCTGGACGGCCAGGGGCCACGGACCGGTGTACTCGAATGCCTTGAGAGGGGGCGATGGAAAGCATCTCTATGCAGCACTTCCAGCACGCCGTTGTTGGTCTTGAAGCTGGAACCGTTGTGTTCGACTCCCTGTGTGCTACAAATGGATCGTTCTGATGGCCTTTGCTGCCGGGCACAGCGACTGGAAGAGTCCGAAGAATGGAAGGAGATCCTGGCGCAGCCAGTGGACACCGGAAAAGCGATGCTCATCACGGCGGCACCGGGCAGTGGCAAGACCACCCTGCTGAGAGAATGGTGTCGAGGGAGGCCGAACAACAACATTCTCGTGCTGGCCTTCAACCGGGCAGTGTCTGAGCAGATGAGGGAAAACTTCAGAGAGCTCGGCAACGTGACGGTGAAGACCATCCATGCAGTGGCTCACGGAGCCACACGGCATCTCCACAATGACAGGGTGGGTGAAGTATCGGGAACAGATCTCAAAACTTTTCTCGAGTGCCGGACTTGGGACGAAGTGGACAGCCAAAGGAAGAGGCTCACGGAGTTTCTTGGTCGTAGTTGGGTGACGTTTTACATGCTTATGGGTACTTAATCCCAATGAGGAATAAACAACTGAATGATCAATCCTGTCCCAACCATGATCTAGGTTTTGTGCGTCTTCTTCTGATCGGCTGCTTGGCCATCCGGATCCTCGAACGCGACAACGGCACAAGGTCCTGTGGGAGCACTTTGGATCGGGAAGGCGAGGGTGAGTTGGTCAAAGAGGTTCGCCTTCTTTTCGGGTGTTGGGGGATTTACTTGCATGGCAGGTAAGCCTTTATGTAAAGTTCAAGGGCCACAGGTCGCGCCTTCGCGTCTGCAGAACCCGAAATCAATGCCCTGCCTGTGCCTGAAGGTGCTCCTTCAGAATGCCTCACGATGTGTACTTGAAGTTCTTCCAGCTGGACAAATCTCTTCGAAGCAAGGCCTTTGCCGACTACGACACGATTGTCCTAGACGAGGCGCAGGATTGCACAGACTGCATGTTGGATGCGGTCAAAATCCACCAGGCAGCATGTGTGATGGCATGTGACCCTCGACAGAACATCTATCAGTTCAGGCACGTCACTGGAGAGTGTCTTCGCGGCATGCAGGTCGATCATCGGATGAGTTTATCACAGAGCTTCAGGTTCGGGGAAGCGATTGCAGCCTTTCTGACGAAAATTGCCCGGAAAAGCCCGCCACCGGTAGATTTGGGCTTCACGGTACGCGGACTGCCCGGCATTGAGTCTCGTCTCTGCTTGGACGCCGATCCTCATGACGCGATTCTCCAGCTCCTGCGCGACGGCAAGAATGCGGTCGTGCTCGCTAGAAAAAACAGTACTCTCTGGTTGGAGGCAATGAAACTGCTAGCAGACATGGATGATGACAAGGCAGCTGCTTTCGTCGGCGGTTTCCATGAATTCGCAACGTCGCAGCTCATACCTGTCCTAGACCTCTTCTTCTTGAAGGAGGGCCGCATATCCGACATCCGGTCACCTTATGTCAACAAGTTCAGGAGTCTGGACTCATTTCGAGGCCTTTGTGAAGATAAGCAGGACATGGACTGGCTACCCAAGTTTAGCCTCTTGGATTCACTGAGCAGCAAAATGGGGTCCACACAGTTTGCGGAGTACCTCGACGAGGTCGCGGGCAAGCTCTCGGCCCAGAGTCATGAGGCGGATGTGGTCTTTGCTACGGTTCATCAGTTCAAAGGCCTCGGTTTCGAGAATGTGGTACTGCTTGAGGACTTCTTGGAGTCCTACACCGAAGAGGAGTACAACATCTTCTACGTGGCGTGCTCTCGGGTGTCCACTGGCACACTTTTCGTAAGACCGGGGACCGTGCGCCTCTTAGAATCCGGAGGCAATCGCAGGAAGAGGCCTCGTTCGGCTCAAGATTTCGATGACTACTTCGATGATTGCTTCGAGCCCATGTTTGATGAAGAGCCGTATCCACTCAGCGACGAGGACGAGGAAGAGTTTTGGGCTCCCTCGGATGGGGGGGAGAGTGCATACGAGGACGAGGATCCAGAAGAGGCAGACGAGGAAGAGGAAGACACCCAGGAGCCGTGAGGCAATCGGACCGGAAACAGCTGGCACGGGGTGTCGCTTTCAGCGGTATGATTTTTACCTCGCAAATGTACCCGCGGGATGAACGATGATATGGCTTGTACAGAGCATTCAGGCGAAGGGCAGCGTACTTTGAGTGTACAGTCCTGATACCAGTGCCGTGGGTGTGTGCCTGCAGGCACGCCTGAGTTTGTGCAGGACTTGCATCTCCAACTGTCACGATACTTGAACCATAAACCCAAACCCTCAACCCAGAAGAACTTTCTAACAAGCGCGTTGAGTTCTGCTGGCCCCAAACACAAGTGCCAGCAACGACGATGGGCTGCGGGCCCTCATAGATATCTAGGTGCACAGGTTCTCCCATGATTCCGCTGAGATCGCAAGTCACTAGCATGACGCTGCCTGGGCACACCGTGCCATTGATGATGCCTTGAAGCTAAGCAAAAACAAGTGCGGGCTTGCTTCCAATTGCCGCCAGTAGTATGACTGATGTTGTGAGACACTGGTCATCTTGCTATTGCTGTTTTAGGTTTCTTCGTGGTTGCGCTATCGTAAATGTTCAGCATCGTCGCATTGCCATACCTTATAAAGGATCTATTTCAGGCTCGCTTCGTTGGTGACATCCGTAGCATTCTTGTCATTGTCATCATCACGACAAATGTCTGGATTGTCAGCATTGCTGCATCACCTGATTTGTTTGATCGCTTGTGCGCCGCACACTGAATAGCTGAATAACTACATGTCCTGTGGTGGCCATAGGGTTCTTTGCAAACCTGTTTGTCCTTATGGCTTCTTATCAGTCTAATCGGAACCACAGTTTTCCCTCGACATGTTCACCTCTAACATCGCCAACATCATCTCTTTTGTTGGGACAACCATAGTGGCATCCCTTCCAAACCCGAAACCCCTAAATACTGAACCACAGACCTTTGTTTACGCGCCTGAACCAGGCGTCCGCCGCTTCGCAGCCTATGCCACTGCTCGGGAGCTCCGAGAAGCGCACCGTGACTTCAATGGGTTTAGGGGTTGGGGCTTCAGGTCTACGGTTTAAGTTTTATGGCATAGGCCCTTCTCGGATTTAAATTTTAGGGCGTAAGGTCCAGCATTTCGGGTTTGGGGCTTGAGGTTTTGGGTTTAGGGTTCGGGTCATGCTTTCCTCACGAATGTGCTGACGCCGCGGGATAGGGTTTGGGAAGCAGATGCCGGACGAACCAATGGCAACCCAAGAGGCAGGTGACCACGAGTTTTGCGACAGATTCGCCTGTTTCGTCGGACGACTGCTTCATGGACCATCCGTGAACCCATCCTTCTAGGCATCGGAAGTGCTTGGGAAAAGTCAAGATGTCAACAGTGATCGGCATACAGCGGGAAAAGAAACACATGTCGTAATTTCGTAGAAGGCCCCAATATGAACAACAGCTGCATTGCTATCAACCGAATGGCAATGTGACTTCAACATACCAGACCGTAAAACCACAACAACCAGACTGCAAAATTCCATGCAAAGTGTCTCCATCGAGCACGAATGATCACAACGAAGGGCGACAGCAGCGACACACAGCAGGCTAAACAAGGTCCCCAACAGCGAGAATGCGACCGCGACGTTTGTTTGAAGATGGGCAATACCGGCAGTCCTACCAGCTGCGCAAATAGTACTTGGAGCAGTGGTCAAGGCCGAGACAATTGCACCAGCAACGGCAGCAAGAAGGACGTCAACCGGGAGCCACGGTTCCGACGTGAGTAACAAGAACGGAAACAAGGTAAAACAGGTACAGGAGAGCTCACACTTGTCACAGTCATGGCCGGTAGCGCAACAGCCACAGCAATAGCACGAATGGCAACGTCAATCCCGATCCCAAAAATCCAAAGTACGGAGGCTGAGACGCAACGCTCAATTGGGCTTCGCTCTAATTCTGTGTAAGGTAGACTCGAAACCCTAAACCAAGGTATCTGCTTCAACGGCAGTTCATTCTAGCCAGGACCCTCAAAGGCTTCATCCTGGAAACCCGAAACCCAAAACCTAAATCCTAAACTCCGAAAAAAACCTACATAAACCCTAGACCTCTCTACCTATAGCAATTTAAACCTTAAACAACTCGTGGGAGTTGATCAAGTCCTGGTGGGAGTTGATCAATAACTCGTGGGAGTTGATCACATTCGTGGGAACTCGTGGGAGCTGATCAATAACTCGTGGGAGTTGATCAATAGCTCGTGGGAGTTGATCAATAACTCGTGGGAGTTGATCAGCATTCGTCGGAACTCGTGGGAGTTGACCAATAACTCGTGGGAGTTGATCAATAACTCGTGGGAGTTGATCAAAGTCAGTGTTTGGTTCAAGGGTGGGGTGGGGTAGAGCAGGGCAGGACAGGGCAGAGCAGGCAAGTGAGGGCAGGGCAGGGTGGAGGCCAGTGCAGGGCAGAGCAAGGGTTAGGGCAGGGCAGGTAGGGCGGGGCAGGGCACAGGGCGGGGCAGGGCAGGGCTGGGCAGGGAGGCGGAGGCAGGGCAGGAGACAGGACAGAGCAGAGCCGGCAGACGAGGGCAGGGCAGGGCGGGGGCTAGGGCAGTAGTTTCAAGGTTTAACCTTAAACCGAGTTGGGTTCATGTACTGATTCTGTTGCTACACAATATAATTTGTGGTAACTTTGTTGACTTGATGTGGCTGATACGTAAGCTCATGTACCGGTTCTATAGCTACACAATATAATTCGTAGCAACCTTGGCTGCTGGAGTATGCTTTCTTAGATTGCTTGAACCATATGTGGAGAGCGCGCTAGATGACATGAGCCTCTCCCAGATATGGAAGGGAACCTCCAAGGGTAACAAACGCTCAGCATACCATTCTTACCTGGCCGCTCCTCAAGAGACGGACCCTTGGCACGTGGGTGCCGGAATCAGCATGACCGCCGCGGCACTGCTGGCAGCGATCCGGAACTTTAAGACGGAGGAGATGAGGAAGCTCATCGTTCCCCAGCTCTACGAGAAGATTTTGGAGGAGATTACTCTCTTGGAGCCAATTTTGAACGCACTCAACTTCGGGAAGGGCTCTGCGACCCAAAAGGATACCGGCTCTTGTAGGGAGGCTAAGAAAGCCAAGATCACAGCTTCGGTGGGTGTTGATTCGCCGGCCAAGACTGAGCAAGATCCTTTGAAGGCGGCTGCGGATTTCCGGAAGTGGCTGGCCAAGGACAAGAGTGCTTTCCGCAGCTTCCTGTTTAGTATGTCGGCGAAGAACACCTTCTATAGTGGTCATACCGCTGAGTTGGTTGCCCGTGCCGCGGTGGCCTATAAGCCTATGACCGAGAAGGACTTCGTGGAGGCTGTCAAAGCTCGCATGCAGAAGCCAGACGAGAATCCCCGGAGCAAGGTGGCGTCTTCTGATGGGACCGGCGACCGGCTTTTTTGATTCGTAAGCTAAGCTTCTACTGGAAGCTTAATCGGCCTGCGTAAGTCGGGTCGGAGCTCGAAGCCCTGCATTCCTTTTGAGACGTGCTGAAAGTGCGTCGAACCGACTGGCGACCTGTCAATGGCCACGGGGATCCAGACGAGCAGAACGAGCTGTCGGTTCTCAGTGAGGTCACTGGAAGTAGTGAAGCGGATGATCCGGATTCGGAGCCGTACTCAGATGACATGTCCACGGAAGAGATCACTCAGTCTGAGCGAAGCTCGAGTTCGGAGTGTGTCCAATCCTCTGACGTGTCGTCGCATCCGTTGGGCGAGGCAGCTCGTACGGAGGAGGGAGCAGTAGCTAAATGCTTATCGTTTGACCGACAGCGCCAGCGAAAAGCTGTTACCTGCTTGCTAGTCTGAGACTGAGCTCTTGAGCATTCGAGCAAAATAGCACCTGTTTAATCACTGCAGTGCGAATGCTAATTCAATGGAATCAATAATCACTTGCCTATGCTGGACATGGATTCGCTGGACACGTCTTTGACTCGAAGGGCAGGCTGGCTGTGCATTATAGGCGAAATAACGCAATGATATTGAAGTGTTTGTCTGTTGGAAGATGTATGTGTCTGTTGTGTAGTTTCTGTTCGAAATATGCGATATGGTCTGCCAAGCATCAGCGTCTATATGTAGGAACAATCGTGTAATACTTACTCCAAACTAATGGTTGAGACAGTAGCAAAGTTTTTTTGGTAGTATGTAAAAGGTTTATTAACTTTAAACTGAAAGAAAAATATTGTGTTTTCTTAATGTGGGGGGAACCTTTGGGCGGGTGGGGTGTTGACTTGAGAATAGCATGACTTGAAATTTTCAAAGTCAGAGCTGCTGAACCGTGAACCCTAAACCCTAAACCCCGAAAAAACTTAAACCCCAAAGCTGCAGCCACGACACCCGGGTCGCCACCTTCTGTCATACCGAAGCAGGAATAAATATACATATTTTAAAGTGATAGTAGAGTATACCACAAAACCCTCTACATATTAAGGCGTCTATATCCTGAAGCCCCATAGAAACCCTTATCGACGCCTGTTTTCAGGAACCCTTGTAGAAACCCTAAACTGATTGTTAAGGCCAACCCAAGCCCCGAACCCAAAACCCCAAATCCAAAACCCCAACCTAAACCCCTCAACCCCGAAACCCTCCTCGAAACCCCTCCCCGGAAATCCGCAACCCCCAAACCCCTAAACCCCCAAACCCCTAACCCCTATATACACACCTTTAAATCCCAAACCCCCAAACCCCTAAACCCCCGAGCCCCGAAGCCCGTAAAGCCCCTAAACCCCCCAAACCCCCAAAGCCCTCAACCTTAAAGCCCCTAAACCCACCAAACCCCTAAAGCCCTCAACCCTAAATCCCCAACCCCCACAGCTAAAGCCCTATATCCTTGACCTTAAACCCCTATATAACAACGCAAAGGAGCCCTTAACAAAAAACACAAAACCGATATTAGGTGTCGGCGGGGAAGCTTCGCGGCCCACACCACCGGGGAGGCCCCTGGGTTCGCCACTCGGAGCTTCAAGGCCCCTAGTCTTCGGCGGTGGGTGGGTTTAGGGTTTGAGGTTTGGGGTTTAGGGGTTAGGGTTTAGTGTTTAGGGATTAGGGTTTAGTTCCAGGCTGTTGAACACGGCGCAATAACGGTGCAGTTGGATAAGTTTGAGTCCTTGGTGGCTGAGGATTTAGAGTGTCATGATGCGCGCATTTGAGGCTGTAGGGGTTTGAGTGAGGACAGTGTGGAAGTGCTTCCTTGGCATGTCTCTCGCTGTTGTCTAGAACCTAGACTTAGACCAAAACCGTTAATCAAATTCCAAGCCCTGAAGTAATTCTATTCTCCCACCGGCTTCGGCCGGGAATCAGCCGCCTAAACCCGAAACCTTAAACCCTAAACCCTTAACGCGACTCCATGCTTGCACAAGGTTTCGATCGGAATCTGGCATGGCAACAGGGTTTGTGGGTTGAGGGTTTAGGGTGTAGGGTTTAGGGTTTAGGTTTAGGGTTTAGGGTTTAGGGCTTAGGGTAGTGTTTTGTCGTAGCAAAAACCCGAATAAAGAGACGTAGCAAAGCCGAGACGACGGATTTGCCACACTGGATCTGAGGTCCAGGCAAATTTGGTGATTCTTCCCGGCCAGTATGCTGATGACTTTCACCAGTTCTGCCCCGCAGCTGCACGCTTTTCGCATTCAGGCTTCACGCATCCTCGGGCTTATGGATCAGAATTCGGATCCCCTATATCCTTAAGCCCCTATAGAAATCCTGAGTGTGGACGCCTTGTTCAAGGAACCCGTATAGAATCCCTTTATAAAAGTATTAAGGCCAACCCTAAACCCTTCACCCTCAACAGATACTACGAACACCAGCTCCGGAGTTCTTCGGGTACACCCAGGTCATGGGACCCCTTCCAGTCTCGACAGGGGTGTGCTTACATAAGATCAACCTAAGATCCCAGGGCTTGACTGTATCCCTTGCCGCTTGCCCCTACACCCAGCTTGAATATTTCACTCTCAACACCACCCCTGAAAGAATTCAAGCTCTTACTAAAAAAAATCATAGCTCTGAAATTAGAGTAGCCCGGCAGTCAGAATCCGGCTCTTTGGCTTTGTCGTTTCCCGATGATGGAACATAGGACTCGGGTTGAGTTTCTTCGGATTCAAGGCTTTGGGATTTCGGATTTGTGAGAAGTTATTAGGCGCTGGCCGAGGCTCTCGAGGATCCAGATTCTGAGATTTTGGGATGTAAGGATGACATAGGGTGTGGGAGGGCAAGGAGCCTCACCAAAATCTCCGCATCTTCATTCAACAGAGGAAGTACCGAGGAATCATTTGACATGTGTTTGTGTCTTGAGTACCGAAAGCCCCTCAATTTCCGAATCACTGACTTCTTTTCTCGACAGCTCCCAGGGTCAGACCTCACATTCGTGCCACAACTCAGGCACGAATCGGCATCAGAGACTCATGGAGCCTGCGCCCGAAGTTTTGACTCAGCCACGACCCCTCAAAACTCAGCTGAAAGCTCTAAACGTGGAAACCAAATGCGAAATCCCAACAAACCCTGAAAGCTCTGACGAGGTGCTTCTAATGCTGCCCCGTGCCCACTCCTGGAGTGCACTGACCCGGGCGATTGGGAGCCGCAACGCTTGGCGCCAGGGGCAGATGTCAGACGCCTGGGCAGATGAATGCTTCTGCAAGGGACAATGATGACGTTGCTGCTGCTGTTGGCTCTAACTCCAGTGCTGCCGCTGCTACGCCGAGGATGGCGACCTCGCACGGTTAAAGATGGTGACTCATGACATCACTAATCGCCGTGACCACTACTACTACTACTACTACTACTACTACTACTACTACTACTACTACTACTACTACTACTACTACTACTACTACTACTACTACTACTACTACTCCTACTCCTACTCCTACTCCTACTCCTACTCCCACTCCTACTCCTACTCCTACTCCTACTCCTCCTACTCCTACTCCTACTCCTACTCCTACTCCTACTCCTACTCCTACTGCTGCTGCTCCTGCTGCTCCTGCTGCTCCTCCTGCTGCTGCTGCTGCTGCTGCTGCCATTGCTAGTGCTGTACTCCTGCTACTGCTGCTGCTACTGCTGCCATTGCTAATGCTACTGCTACTACGACTACTACTCCTTGGTTCCCAAACTATGCGGCACAAGGAACTGACCTGCCCAAGTATCACATCTGGCGAGAAGGCCGTAGACATCCGTCTGGATTGAGGGCTCTGAATCCCAATGTCCCCGGTATATGCCATGAAGCATTCGACTGCGAAGCATGTGTTGCAGGTTCTCGTACAAATACGACCGACAAAATTGTGAGCTGGTAGCGTCCCATACTTTGCTCCCCCTACATAAAAGAGGCCCTGCGCGAGACTAGGTCGCTACTGTTTATAGTTAGGACCTCTCAAGGCCTTGGCGTTTTCAAGAAGCCCCCAAGAGCCAGAGCCCAGAGTCCAAACCCCACAAACCCAACCGCAAGAGGGCACGTACGGCTGTGTTCCGTTCTATCGGAAGTTGTAAGTTTTGCTTTCCAGGAGCTATTTACACAAACTCTATATAAGCCCGAAGACCAGAACCCCAAACGAGAAGCCCTAAACCTGCAGCAGCCGAAAGGCCCGGAGGTGCCCCGACTTCCGTCGAAAGCAGCAGTGATGTCCCCTCACGTCAAGCCCGGATTCTGGGGGAAAATCCTCGCCCTCCTTGTGTTGCTGGGCTATGGTGGCAGCCTTGCAGTGCAGCCGGTTGTCTTCAGCCAACCCAAACCGCAGCCGCGCAAGGGATTGCCAAATGACTTGCGCACATCGGCTATGAGCCAAGACCCGGGTGACTTTGTTTTGACAGCATCCGAAAGAGCTTTGTTGAGGGAACTCGGCCAGGCTGCCAAACGGAGACAGTGGCGAAAGGTCAAGGAGTTGCAAGGTGCGGTGAGAATCCCAAAGACACCATTTTTCAATGCTGAACTCGATGCAGCTCTCAAGTGCCGCGAGTACCAGGCTGGCGCAGAAGTATATGACGAGCTATGCGCATTATCGCTTCCGCAGGCGATCGTCAGCTACAACCTCGGCATGAAATTGTTCGCTAAGTTGGGTGATGGAGCCCGCGTCCGCAGCATATGGGCAGAGGCCCGCAAGGCTTATAAAATGGATGTGACAATGGCAGCTGCCAGGCTTGTGGCAGCGGCCGATGAGGCAGACATGGAGACGGCGCTATCTCTTCTGGATGAAATGAAGGATCAGAAAGTTCAGGCAGATGCTGGCCACTTCACTTCCGTAGTGCGTGCATGTCAACATGCACCTGGTGGAGGTCATCAAGAAGTTATGCGCGCTTATCGTCTGATGGTGGACATGGATGTGACTCCTCATCTTCGGTTCTATACAATCCTGTCAACAGCATTTGCAGGAAAACCTGTCGAGGACCTCCAGGAGATTCTTGCAGATATGGAGCGTCGTGGCCTGGAGTACGACACTGTCTTTGCAGACAAACACTTGCAAGCTTTGCTTTCAGAAAGGAAGGTTCGGGTTGACAAGATCGGCGAGATACCCAGAAACAGACTGATGGCGGCAGCAGCTGCCCTGGCGAAATTCAAGACAGCCCGCAAGGCATCCTCCAAGTTTTGTAAGAAGTTGGAGGAAGCGTTGCAGGGCGAAGGCTTTGGTGTTTAAACTCGAAAGCAGCCAGTGCCTTTTGCGATGCAGCGATGCGTCAGAGGTTTTTAATTCGTGCAGCATCATTTCAGCCAGTTGGGTTTGACACCCGCCCATCCACTGTGCTTTTTGCACAGGAGTCAGCACAGTGCTATATCAGAGCTGCACGGCTTGGCCCCTCGTGCAGGCACTGTTGAGTGGGGGTGTGGCGTCGGGGAACCAAATCGCAAGCTGCGCGGAGAAAACTTGTATTCTGTGATCTGTGAATTCTCGTCACAACAGATGTGGTAGCCGTCGAAGATTTAGGGTTCAGGGGTTCAGAGTTTATGGTAGGGGACCTTGTTTGTTTAATCAAGCCTCGAGGTGGGAGTATCTCGTTCCACATCTATAGAACCAGTCGGTTCGATAAAACTTATTTGGAGGCCATGTCGCTAGGTTTCTGCTTCAGAGGCAATGTTCGGTCGGCTAAGTTCGATGCTCAGGCCGTTGCGCTCTTCATTTAGTCCGCAGCGTAGATTCAGAAAGCTTGCCTTTCGGTCTGGGCAGTCTCTTTTAGAGACCGTGCCTTTTCGAGCCATCAGGCAAGGCATCCCAGCAGCTCAGACATTGAAAAACCGTCTGGCCGAGTCTAAGTCTTGACCGGCCCCGAGAACTTCCCTTTTTCGTAGGATCAGTCGAGGGTGGCGACCAAAATGATGGTGGAGCCAGTGCAGTAAATATTTACGTCTTGACGTGTTGCCATGAACATATGAATTTCTCCAGACTCCAGCCCCGAAATCCTTGACCGTGACCCTGAAGCTTTCACTCTAAACCACGGCCTACACCCAAGATGCCTATTTTCAAGCTGCGATTGGATTTATGGTTGAAGTTTAGCCTACCGGAGCTTGGTCAGGCGCCATGGTGGAGGAGTGCCAGGACGTTCGCCACCTCTGGGATGACCAGATGCCCCTTGCCCGGAGACCTCTAATCCTCCATGTAGATATTGGGCTATCTGCCCCAGAAGGCACATAAACGCCATTTCGCCCCTTCGCACAACCCGTTTGACTAACCCTAAACTACCTTAAAACCCTCAGTCCGAAACCAGAACTTCTACAGATCCTGGCCTCTACGACGTCCTGCGATCAGCCGAAGCCATTCGCAGCAAGCCGGAGCCCCAAAGCGCAAGCCCCGAAGCCCGGCAACCTTTTAGGGTTTGGGGTTTGAGGGTTTGAGGGTTTAGGGGTTTAGGGGTTTAGGGGTTGAGGGTTTAGGGTTTAGGGTTTAGGGTTTAGGAGTTTAGGAGTTTAGAGGTTTAGGGGTTTAGGAGTTTATGGTTTAGGGTTTGTGCTGTGAAGGTCTCTTGTCTGAGCCATGGCTATTCTGTGCTTGATGAACCTTCGGCCCTAACCCCGAAGCCCTTAATCTCCTAAATACTAAACCCGAGACAAAACACCCCAAAAACCCCTAACCCCAAACCCCAAACCCTAAGCCCTAAACCCCAAACCCGAAAGCCCCAAAGCCCAAACCCCAAACCCTAAACCCCAAACTAAACCCCAAACCCTAAACCCCAAACCCCAAACCCGAAAGCCCGAAAGCCCGAAAGCCCAAAGCGCCCAAAACCCGGGAGCTTCGAGGAGAGCCTTTCTCTTGGGCTGCTCCTTCACCTGGGAGGCAGGTGGTTTTGGGTTTGGGGTCAAAGGGTTTGGGGTTTAGGGTTTGGGGTTTAGGGTTTAGGGCTTAGGGTTTGGGGTCAAAGGGTTTAGGGTTTAGGGTAATTATAGGGCTTAGGGTTTGGGGATTCGGGTTTGGGGTTTAGTTTGTGGTTTAGGGTGTAGGGTTGGGGGTTTTGGGTTTAGGGTTTTGGGTTGACGGTGTCACGAATTCCCGCTGGCGTCTTCAGGAGATTAAGCTGAGTAAGTTGAGGATGTCTGGTTTAGGGCAGGGGTTTCTGATTCAGCGATCTTGGTGTGGAGGGGGCTGACTTGGGGTTCAGGGTGTAGGTGTGCAGGAGTCAGGGTTTAGGGGCTTCAAGATTTAGGGGTTTCGTTATGGGCGCCAGGAAGTAGTGGTCTCCGGATTGGATTAGTTGTGCAGTGGGGTTGCGTGAAGTCCCGAAGTTGGCACTAGGGAATGAGTTGGTAGGCACTTGGAGGTTCATGGGTAGTTATAAGTGGGGTTATATATGTCCCCTAATATGGGTTATAAGTATAGTCGCCCTACGTATAACTACCCATGAACCTCCAGGTATCGAAGATATCCACAACCCAGGTGGAACATCTCAGTCTTCAACGAGCCAACCAGAACCTAGATGAGGGTTAGGGCTGAGGGTTTTGGGTTTAGGGCATGACAGTACGAGTAATGATAACAATTCCACTAGTAGTACTAGTAGTGTTAAGAATGCTGTCAATTAGAATAGTACCTGGACCCCCAAAACATGTAGAATAATAGCCTTTTACAGGTTTTGGACCATTACTTTGGGGGGTTCAGGTGGTAATAGTAATAAGAAGGAAACAAATTGAATTCCTCAACCTTTTACTGAAAGTGGAAATAGTAGTAATAGTACCAAAAACGAAATAAGTCTCATTCCTCAACCCTTTTACCCTCTTCTTGGAAGGGCAGGGGACTTAGTAAGTAGGTTATAAGTAGAGTTGTAAGTACCCTGGATGGAGTTACCCCAATTATAACCCTACTTATGACCTACTTACTAAGTGCTCTGCCCTTCCAACATCCCTGTTCCGCAGGACGTGCTTGCGGCAGCGCAGCTCCGGCCCCGGCACATTGAGGCAGGCTGCGTTCGGACTGGGCTCGAGGGCGTTAGGGGGGTAGGGGGGAGGGTTTAGGGTTTAGGGTTAGGGGGCCTTAATACCTATAATAAGGACGTAAGGGTTCCGGGTTTCGGGCAATTCTAGGGTAGAGTTTAGGGTTTAGGGTTTTTGACGGTTTGGGGACTCTATCTGCGGTTTTGATTAAAGTTTTGGGTTCAAGGGGTTGTGGATTAGGTCTGCCTGAAATGGGGGTGGGAGGGCGAGGACCTGTGGGGCAACTCTTGCATCTACACGGCTTGCAGCCCTGTCTCGCTGGACCCTCAACTTAACTTCAATGAGTATATCTAGGGCCGCCTCCGTAGGACCGGCCCTTTTCCCTAACAGTTCACATCCGAACACAAAATTCAAGAAACAACAACAGAACTACCCATCAAAGGCTCACTGGACCCGAAACCTTCCTGGTGCGCAGGAAGGCCGAAACGTGCCCATGTACAACACCTCGATTCCGCTCAAAGGGGCTGGGCCATTTCAAGGCAGGGCAGATTGCGCACTGGACCCAACGATCTAGACCCCCAAACCCTACACCCCAAAACCCTACACCTCTTACCCAAACTCCTAACCCCAAGCTGAAACCCATGGGCTGCTTCGCAGACGAGTCTTTTCGGGTGGCAGAAGTTCGTCCTACAGCCCCAAGTCTGAGTTTAACCGGTGGAAACCCTCAACCTGGCAAGGCCTTCCAGCTGCACACAACCGGGAAAGAGCCCCAAACCCTAAACCCTAAACCCCTAAACCCCTAAACCCTAAACCCTAAACCCTAAACCCTAAACCCCTAAACCCTAAACCCCTAAACCCTAAACCCTAAACCGCAAAACAACAGCTTTACTAAACCCTGAACCGGCCTCCAAGTCCGAGCGGGCTGCTGGATGCTAACGGTTGAAAGCCTACTTGGAAGGGCAGGGGACTTAGTAAGTAGGTTATAAGTAGGGTTATAATTGAGGTAACTCCATTTAGGGTACTTGTAACTCTACTTATAACCTACTTACTAAGTCCCCTGCCCTTCCAGGGAGCCGTAATAATTACAGCACCACTCGGGAATTCCTATAACATTTCTGAGTATATGAATCGACCCAGAAAAGCCTATTCTAATTATTATGGCCCCGATCTTACATGCTAGAGGTCCTAAAGCCCCTTCAGCCACGATGGCTCCGGGTTTAAGTAGTTCGGCCTCATGCTCTTACGACTGCAAGGCCAGATGGTGGTCTCTATGCGGCCGCACCTCGGCGACAAGTTGATGGACAAGTTTTCACAGATTTACAGCCCCAAACCCTAAATTTCCCCTGAGCCCTAAAGCGCGATGGTCCTGAAGCCCTGAGGGTGTAGCAGGGTCGAAGTAGACCTTGAAGAGTCTAGAACGCCATCTAGGCTGCCAGAGCTTCAACGCTCAACAGTTTAGAGTCAAGGTTTCAGGGAAACTTCTAGACTCTAGACCCACAGCCCTGAAAACGTATCATGGGCTGAAGCTTTACCCCCGAATGGCGGGCCTCGATGCTTTGAGACCTAGCTAAATCTCCAAGAGGGAGGCTTTCCAAGCTTGGAGGCCACAATGGAGGCTTTACGAATGCAGGGCTCGGTGTGAGATTGCAGTTACAACGTCTGACAACGGCCGGAGATGAGCATTTGTAACCACGATGTATATCTCGAAAACTGAAGAAGAGTCGCCTAACTTGTAGATCTTGCGCCTTGTGCTGGAGTATCTCCATGCAGCCCTATGGAGAATACCAGGTTGAGATGTCGGAAGAAGAGGATGCACAGTAAGAGCCGCATCAGGATCCGACAGGTTTCTGAATCATCAGCTTGTTCTAGGGCTTTCGCAACCCTAAGCCCGAAGCCCTAAACATCCCCAACCACGACAGCCCTAAACTGGGTTCAGGGAAAAAGATCCGGACACAAAGCACTGGAGAATGCCAGAAGCTCGTAGGTACAAGGTCGAGGACTCGGACAAAGTTGCCGAGATTACTGGGCGCTATCCCGCTGCCCATGGTGGCCGGGTCGATTCAGGTTCTTAGGGTTTGAGTTTTCTGGTGGAGGGTTTTAGGGTTTCTGGCTGAGGGCCTTGGGCTGGTTTGGGGTTGAGGGTTTAGGGCTCAGGGACTGCTTGCTCACTAGGGAAATGCAGCTAGCAGCTAGCAGTTATCGTCCTTCGACATTGCTTTACCGCACCTGAATTACTCTTCTGTTCTGCTGTGGGGTGAGGGTTGAGGGTTCGGGGTATAG